ATCTACAATATTGAGAACATTTCAACCACAATGAAAATTGAATTTACTACAAGATATACTTTTTGCCCTGAATTGAACAACTTTACTTTTACTTTCATTAACAGGCATGTTATTAGTGTCGGACCAACTACCAAGGACGCAAGGACATCAAGCAATAACTGCAAATCTGTTTCACTTTCTGCAATTAAGACAATATCGTCTGCATATAACATAATACATAATTTATCATCTCCACCTATATCTATACCAACATCTAGCAATTTAACTTTCTCAACTAAGTCATTAATAAACAAATTAAACAAAATTGGAGATAGACTACAGCCTTGACGTAGGCCTATGGAGCTCAGATGGAATTTTGACCGGCAATTTCTTTATTTTGAAACCAATCTCAATAAATGTTTCAATAAGGGTTTGTTCGCATGTGAAGCATCGTTTGGTGGTAAGATTTTGTGAAAACTCGTTCAGCGACATTTTCTTCATACGCATTGCATATTTTGGGCACACCAGAACCAACGACGGAAAAAAAATCTCGATAAAGACTTCATAAAATCCGAAAAAAATGGGGAAATATAGAGGAAAGCATCACATTTCGGTTTTCTTAAAAAAAAACTTTGAATTTTATATAAATGTGTAAAATGTTGAAAAGTTACCCTTTGATTGACCTATTTTCTCCTTCACATATCGAGTTAAAGCGCACATCTGGAGCAGCGGAAATTCAAATATATTTTTACCGATGCTAAATTTTGAGTTCAATATGCGGTTCCACTCCCGTGATATGCAAGTTAACCAGCTTTACTTCGGCCGAGTATCTTTTTTTAAAAGATATTTCTTGTTGATAATTCTTATTGGTTCGCTACATTGATATATCGTTTGTTGGCATGCCATCGGTAATTGATTTTATCTTTAAATGTTAATGACCCGTTAACAATGAATGACTTGTCTGGTTTTCCACAAATTAACGACTGACTCATGGTCAATGGCTTTCTTTCTTGTGATAATACATGTATTGGTTTGTTTAAAATGTATGCGTGTACACAATCAGTCATGGATTTTGAAAGCATGCAAGATAACATTCTTTGGGTAAATCAACGGAAAAATAATCTTGTCGTTTTTAGCTGAACACCGAATAATCAAAGATTTAACCTTATCGTGTTTTAAGGATAAAACTTTTAAACTTAAGAAACAAGAAGTTTTTCTTACTTAATAGAGTCATACAGTACGCGATGTGCAATACCCACAATGTCATATAAAACGTTCTTTTAACCAAATGGTAGTTGTTTACCACTTCATATAAATATTAGATAGCCCTCTACAAAAGTTAAATGAATAGTTCCAGTCTGATACAGATGAACTTCACAGGAACTAAAACAAGTTTGCTTCTTTAAATAGAAACATTCGAGCGGTCTTTTTTGCAGCAGCGGAAACGATTTTTTTAATTGTTCAAATGATTTCTTATTGGTTGAATTGCAACTGCGAACAATAGCATATCGGCCATTTCCGTAAAAAATCTGGAGAAAAGTTATCCCTCGGATTCGTTAATCACAACAAAATAACATGTTAATTGCCGGCTCGGTTTGATTGAGTCTGTACATGAGAAATAATGAATAAGAGCAACATACCTCACGCGCCCTAGCAACGGCTTGAGCGGTACTCAATACTCAACACTTAATAGTGCTGGCATCAATGATCCCGAAGAACATGAAAAATATAACAACACTGATGTGAAGTACGGGCAACTTTTTACAGCTGCCAACACAGCACTTGACACCTGCTGTTGTGATGTATAAAAATCTGGAAACAAAGTGATCCATCGGAAGCATTAATTACAACAAAATTACATGAAAATTGCAGACTCGGTTTGATTGGGTCTGTACATGAGGGATAATAAATAAGTGCAACATCCCTCACGCCCCTAGCACCGGCTTGAGCGGTACTCAATTCTGGCGTAAGTTTTCGAATAAGCTCCAATTATGAAATATCGGCGAGGTGTTCCGAAGGTAAAGCTGCGGCAAAAGTTCGATACACGGTTTATGATATTGTAGCTATAGTGTTTACTGTTACTATTTTTCGAAACAAAAAGTTGCAAAACGCTATCCAGAAAACAATTATCAAATTTATTATACAATTTAAAGGATTAAAAACGGAATGAACCACTGTTGTAACTTAAATGATATTTTCCGATTTTTCCTTTTACCGACTTGTTTATCTAGATGTTAATTTTTAGTTTTTGAAGCGGACCATGTGCAAAACACTTTTTGAAGACTGGTTCTAATGATTTAAGACTTTAAAGAAACTCCACTGAGGTCCAAGAACCTAAAATAAAAAAAATGAATTCATTTTGTAGATCAACTGGGACACTTAAACAAAAAGATATACAAAATAGATAAAAAAAAATACTTTAAAATAGATCAGAAATCGTATTTTTGTGCAATTCTTAGCCCAGTTTTAGTGAAAAGCGTTGCAACGCTTTTCAATTTTGGTGCATTTTTTTCAAAATTAGAATATTATTAAGGTGAAACGGAGTGAGCGAATAATCTGATAATTTTCACACAAGTTACTGGTTTAAACCTTTATCTAGTCTCGTCCAAAAAAGTGGAATCCCTTTAAATGAGATTCATTTACTTCATTTTAACACTCAAAAAATGGATGCCGCCACCTCAAAATTCTCAACACTGTGACCTCTAGACTCCAATAGACTTTAAACAATTATTCCCAATAAATTAAATGTCCAGAAGTAGGATATTAATGACTCACCACTTTTTAAGTTCTTTAAGAGAATAAATTATGTATCTGTAATGAAAACGTGATGAAAGTGAAAACTACTCGTATCGTATATTTAGAGGAAAGTAAATCTTAAAGTTTGTTTGAATTCCAACTGACAATCATAAAGATCATAAATAAATATCGTTTTATAAATAATATACTTTACGGAAATGTCAGAAGAGGCTAAGTATTACCCTGAACACTAAGTTGGTGGTAGTAAATCTAAAACAAGCCAATGGATATTTCCCTTCCGCTTTAAACGTTATAAATATGTTCAATAACACTTCAATAAATTAAGGTATTTATACTTTAGCACTAATGTTATATCAGATAGATTTTGACTGGTACTAGGGCTTTTTGCATTGTTAGTCAATTTCGTTTTTGTAACGTTCATTTTTGTATTTTCTGGTCGCAGATCAGTAAATACATAGCTAACATCCACGGTCTAACACACAATTTCCTTACAGACCTAACAACGCAAAGTAGTTCTCACTCAAAACTGTTTAAAAACCAGCAATTTAAAAGAAAGAACAATTTTTTGTTACAAGTGTCCAACAAATTACTACACATTCAAATTTTAAAAGTAGCGTTGGCTTATAGAATTGTCAATAAATGCACACTCACAAATTACGCGGATGAATATGATTTTAATCAATGAAAATGCTATTTTTAGCGATGTCGATTACCGAATACTACACAAATAAATCTGACTGCCGAGTAGTTGAATATATAGTTTCTACATGTTGGACTGTTTGGGCGAGAAGGTTTTTGCTAAATTATTTACTACAATTTTAAACAACAGGTTTACCCTGACATTACCCTAACCCGAAATGCAAGGGGAATTTTAATTTAGAATGACTTGATTTTATTCAGCCTGTGCGGCTTTAAAAACCCGAAATGCAATTTAGAATGACTTGATTTTATTCAGCCTTTGTTTTTAAAACTTCTCCGTGGCGCAGGGGTAATGCGCTCGTTTAGTGTGTGAGAGGTCTGGAGTTCAAATCCCAGTCGAGTCAACATTTTTTTAAATTCTTTTTTTTAGTGTCTTCGTTAAGGAAATAGCCACGATATGCAAGGATAAAGTGTGGCTATCATAAAAAATGAACATAAATGATTTTTTGATGCAACTCTAGTTATGCAAAATTCCGTATGTATCAAACTCTGGTGACCTGCAAGATGAATTAAAGTACATAAAAATAAACTTATACAGGAAAACACATACAGATATACAGTACAAAGATTGCAAAGATCAGAAAATATCACAGAGCTTGCAGCCCTTTGATTATTTGTTTGGGTCGTCAGACCAAACAAATAATGGTAGCGAAATTTCAGACTCTAATGCTGTTAATTGCAAGTGCCGAAAATAGTCCGCTTTTTTGAAGCGGTTACTTCCCTTTATATGTAACACTTAGGCCGAAAAATTTAGGGGAGGTCACTGCGTAAATATGGTCACATGACAGGCGGATTAAGTTTCAAGCAAAAAAAATCCCGAATGGTCGAAGATTCCTAATATTGTTTTATTATTTATAGATATACATGCTTATAGTAAGCGCCATGATTATTTACACAAATGTTAAACAACAGTTAACGTCGTTACAAACACTAACTAGAATACTATGGTTTTCTTCAGGCCGTTAACATGTAAATCCACCGTGGCCGAGGGGTTTGCGCGCTCGCTTTGGAAGCGAGAGGTCTGGACTTCAAATCCCAGTTAAGGCAAAACATTTTTTTTTCAAATAAACATTGGATCGAATATCAGTGTTGCAATTAGTCTTATAGCCAATCTACTACAATTAAAACGCTGGAAAGCATTGGTGGCAATATACAAAAACAAATTGTTTTATAATCTCACAACCTTCACTTTTCTGACATTCTGAGACCCTAACAAATTCAGCGCCTTCTGTGCTTTGATTTTTATTTTCAACAAGTAACAGAATAATAACATTTGGGATATCTTTATCGAAACTATATTTATACAAAGTTGGAGCTGTCGGATGAAATGTGAATGTATCAATCGGTGAAATTGCTCAAGTGTCAGTCGGAAGTGTAATATCTGCTATATGTCCCTGAGGGCCGAGAACCCAGTAAATAACACAGTGTATGTTTTATACGTTTATTCACTACGAGCGACTATTGTACACTACTTGGTATTTAAGAGGCTGATACAGAGTGGCTATGTAACATGATACATATATCTACGTCATCATATATTTGTATGGATACTACAGAAAGTAGCGAAATTTCTTTAAAGCTTAAAGGTTATTTTCAGAAATATTCTCTTTCTATCATCTTTATTAGTAAACATAATCATAACGTATCGAATAAAGCAAACTGTGCTGAATGGATGTATTGCATTGTTAGAGCATTATGATTGGACAAGTGTGTAGTTACCTTGTTATTGTATGTACACTTTGATACCAGTCTAACGATGTAAGTTAAGTGATGTAGTGAACAATATGTTGATCACGTTAAATATCATAAAGCGTGTAAAAAAAATAAATGACCTGGCAAACAATTTTAAATCAGTTCTAAATAAAAAAAGGAATACCGAATGTAGACATTTAAAAGGGGTGAAAAACGACCCAAAAAACGAATTTAATGAAGACCATGTAGTTGTAGCTGTTCTGTTAATATTGTTTATAGTGATTATAAATGTGGTATCAATTCTAGGATATATCGTTTATCAGGAATGGATATTTTTTGAAACAAAATTGATTGAGGATTTTTCTGTACCATGTTCATCAATGTCTTTAAGCCCAGATGAAGATTATGTAACATTTGACTTGAACAAAAGTGGTTTGAAAACTTATATTGATGATAAGGGAAACTACATTTGTAGTAAAAGGAACTTTACAGAAATTCTCCAAACGGTAAATGTTATTAAATTGAAACTTAAATCAGTCAAAATATGACATTGACATTTTTCTAATTTAGAAAAGGCACATTTAAAGTTTATTTCATAAGTCATAATAAAAATTGAGTAGGAGTTTTGGGACAATAGCACATTATATATGTTTTATAATTATGTAAATCATTAAAATATCAAGAAAATAAGTAGACAATCATTGTACAAAGGAAAGCTATGAATATTTTCTGGTTTTCTTTGTCAATAATTTAGTATCCTTTCCTTTTAAGTTCCATCTTTTTGATAATTAACATCAAATTTCCAATTTTCCTGCATTTATATACATTGTCATTGATAAATTTTGTCATAGGTTGTGGAAAGAGTATGTAGAACACAGATAGCTTTAGGTAAATATCTTTTTCTATTTCAAGTTGAATAACTACCTATATGTTAACGCATAGCCGTAATTAAAAATTATCTTTACACAAAGTATGTATTCTCTTTCCGATAATACTACATGGACAGATAACAGATAAACGGTTAAGTGTAGATTTTTCTAAGTACAAATTTACAAGCTGAAACCTTTTAGGTGTTTTAATAGTTTAAAGGCACATAAACCCTCAGATTTCCCTCTCAAGAAAAGGCGTTTTACAAGTATTAGCATTTCCAAAATGCTTGGAATCGCCGTTCAGCCATGAATATAGAAATAATATTTCCTTTCTTGCCTAATACTTAATTGTATGTGGTCAACACACACAGACACTTTGGGTTATGTGCGTGACTCCCCTTCTTGATCCGCACGTGTATACACCATGTCTATTTTTATCGTGCAAACCATTCGTCAAAATAGTTTTGCATATTATTACGACCTAGTCACATGTCTTGAACATAAAACTTTTTTCCACTATTTTAACAACGTTTAAAATAGTCCCTAAAAGATCATAGTTTCATATTTTCACGTGTTAGACACGCAACCGTCTCTCATACTAATATAAGCAAAAACTTAAAACTAATTCTTGTAATAAATAATACTTTTTCATATTCAGGGTGGAGAAGGGCGGGGTGAACACATAAAGCCAACAAAAATACTTGATTTACTCTACCATTCCGTTCTTGTCAAAGTACAGGTGATACTCAGTATTGCCCATGAGAAAAATATCACAATACCTTAATTTAATTGACTCGTAGTACAATAAGTTAGACTACATGCGCTACTTAATAAGTACGTGCATCCATCGGCAAAAAGAATTAGCTTCTTGCGTAATTAACAATAGATTAAAATTGATGTCTGTGAACATGCTATAAATTGAATTTACGTTATATACTCGGAAGTTTTTTTTTTCTGAAACGAACTATAACTGCGATAATGAATGCAATAACAACACTCATGTTATTAAACTCGCCCAGAAGAAAGCAATATAAAGTTTTTTCCTTAACATGTTAAGTGCAAGTTTTGGAAAGAAAACAAAATATTTTCTACATTCTCTAATCAGAAATGACATGTAACAAAAATATTGCAATTTGCTGTGTTTATCCTGCAAGAGACTATAAAGACTGGTACTGAGTTCGTACATTGATAATGGTATTTTTCAGTTGTGCGAATAAGTAACCCGACAAAACATGGCGGTTGGGCGAGTCTATTTAAACACCCCTCTTAATTCTATGAAATCATGAAATCCAGAAAATATGTAAAACAATAGAAAATGCCTCATTGGATGTGAAGTTCTTACATCATCTATACTAAAAAAATACAAGAAGTACTTTTTATCAAATAAAATGCGTATGAGCCATTTCTCAATAATTTTTCGGTCACTTTTTGCCATGACTTTAAATGTCTACCCAAAATTTGTATAAACTTCAAACTTTAAATTGATATAGCATGTACAATTCAGTAATGTAACACTTCTTAGACAAACAAAATACGCGATTTAACTTGAGAAGAATTATTGTATGGCTAAACAATGGTAAAATATTTATAATCTTGAACTAATCCATTATTAATATAGAGAATACACCAGCCTACACATGTACTTATACACTGCTTTTACTTGTTTTGTTTTTTTAATTCCCTGTAAGTTACGGAATACAATAAAGATATAAGTCTTCCGCATATGTTTTCTTTTTAGTTTTTAGTCACCAATGCTCTTCATGAATCCTTTATTTCTGGCCATTATACAATTAATTCAACTATTTTAGTAAAGAACTTTTCGTGAAACATACCTTTGTAAACTACGCTATTGTTATTCTCATCTAGGAATTCGAAAATGTATTTCATTTATATCGTACACATTTGCAGATTATTCATTTCCAATTCAAATTACTTCTTTTCTGTATATTTAGATATTCTAAACTCGTTTGTCATAACGGATTTATTGTCTTATCATACTGTACCTTTAGGGAAAGAAAAGCGATATCTAGCCTGTGGGAATGAAAGTCTTAGAGAACCATCCGGATATCAGACGGTATACTTCCGAGAAATATTGAAGCAACAAAATATTTCGGGTATACATATCGGTTTAAAATCATTTTTTTTTGTGTACTTAAAAAGAACTGTACATTCATCATATTCACCATTTATCTTCTCTTTGCTCTTGAGTCTATATGTAATATATTGTCCTGGAAATTTATTTCAATACATTTAATTGTTATATAGAAGCTTTTGTGTTTCGAAAGACAATGATGACATTATATTTCCTTTTTATTTTGTTTTCCTTGATAGTGATATATGAAACCTTACCTCAGTCTTTCATTCTTTTTGTTTTAAAATAATTAAAAATTACCATATTATTTTTTATTTTTTATCGTTATTATCATTGAAATCATTTTGCTTTTTATAACAGAAGATATGTTAAATAGTTTAAGAAGTATTTTCTTAAAAAGCGTAAGCATAGGTGTTCGGCGCGTTGATTGGTCACTACCCCCCCCCACCCCCTCATGCACTCTACAACCCTCATACCGCTGAAAACCCTGTATAAACAGCAGTATTTTTCATTTGGAACATGTTTTAATATTTGGTATATGCTTTTAATTCAATTTCCATCATTTCCCACAAAAAAATTTAAAAAAAATGATACATATATATTTAGTAAAGGTATGCAACTCGCCGCTCATTTTTCAGCACTCATCTTAATATGAACTCCATAACTTCAACATTTTTTTCACCAATTTTCAATATCTTGGTACCAAATAGTAGGGAATTGATTACTCTTAAAGGAAATAAAGCTGTCATTACAATCATTTCAAGTTATAAGAAGATATGCACATTGTAATCTCGAAATCACCGCAAGTGTAACTCGACAGAGACCTGACCGCTGGGTTTTTGTCAAAATTACACGACTAAACGGCAGTTTATTCGAAATGAATGAATATTTTTTGTATTGCGCAGATAAATATGATAAAATTATATTATTATATGAAAAAACTATTCAATCAAAACACCATATAAAACTATAACGAGGGTTGTAGAGTGGATGAGGGGGCCCGGGGTAGTGACCAATCAACGCGCCGAACACCTATGGACGTAAGTATCTGGTCGGTCACGTGGTTATCGCTCTAAATCCTACGTAACATTACAAGCGGCGACCGTTCGAGATAGTGGGATCGATGGTACACCGTTGATAATTTGAGATCGGAGATAAACATTTCAATTATATCTGGGAAGAATGGGATGGTCATTCACCCTCTGTGGTCCGGCAGGTATTTAGACGGTTTCCGAAGGGTATTTGCCCGATCACCTTGTGAAAACCTTTGGCATCGTCCTTCTGGACACCATTAGATATTCGTAAGGTATAATCAGCCGACTACGGCACGATAAATGTGCAATTCTCGTCAGATATCCGGCCAGTTTGAAACCATCGTGAGGTGACTGTAAGGTCTACGGACAAAAGCCGTGCGATATCTTTTTTCTTAATTTCTGGGTGAAGTTCTTGCCTTCTTCCCCTTTGAATTTTTCCCTTCCTATCTTTGCTAGCTGTTTTGGGAGGTATGTTAGATTTTAAAATCAATATTTTCTATAAAATATTGTTAATGAAACTTGAAAAGTTTAAGAAACCTCTGCAGACTGGCTAATGATAGAATGGGGGAAATGGTGGGGGGCAGTACGGTAGCAGTTGGCGGAAATTTTAAATCCTGATACCGGGGAGGGAAGCCCCCCTTGAAATTTTTTTTCAAATATCACATCGTTCCTAAGCAGGTATGACAAACAACTAAAAAGTACTAATTGCCCTTTTTTTCTTTCGCAAGAATGATGAAAAACTAAACAAGGAAATTTTCCTTCACCGTCCCAGACTTGAACACCCGGACGCCCCAATTTTACAACCCAAAGCTGGGGGGTCTCAGGGCTGTTAAAAAACCCCCACCGGGTATCCTTTTGATGTCAATCCAGGCACCCAAAAACCCTTTTGTGGGAACAAACCGGGGGGTGCCCATAACCTGCCCAGTCGCCTTTCCCGGGGAAAGCTTTTAGATACCGTTTGAAAAAACCGTTTTGATTATTTACCGCCAAGGTTGGGGGGAAAAATTTTCAACCAATTCATAAAAGCGTCCTTCTGGGTATCTTGCCACCGGAGGGCTCCCCGGTGGTATGCCTTTTAAAATTCGGCAATAGACAACGGTACCTCATCGTAAACCTAATCGGAGCGTTATGTGACGCAGACATTAGGAACGCAGGCCCCTTGGGTTCAAACATAGTACGGGGGAAGCCGTTGTTTCCCTTCAGTCAAAGAATAAGTACAGTCATAGTACATGATCGATCTCTGTCTTCTAAGACACTTTGTATTTTGAAATATTAAAAGTAGTCTCTCTTCCAACATTGTCGTTTTTTTATTGTTTTACCTGTTATGAAACACATACATGGGCGGAAGTAAAGTAGTGTTCTTTTGATTCTTTTCCCCACAGACGAGAAACTGTACTGGGATAAACACCCGAGTAAATGTTTACATGGATAAGTCGATTGAATACGATGATGGTGAGGGGTGACAATACCGGAAGGACGAGACTACTATCTGTATGCGTCGATACACTTCAATATAAGCCGGCAATAACAGTAACGACCAGAAAAGGTTTCAAAGACCACAAAGAATAACAATCAGATATGCAAATCCGTATACGGATATGAACAGACGTTGCTCAGGGAGATCAGAAGCTTTTTGATATGACAAATACTTGGTGATGTATTGGTAGCCTCAAAATAGAAACACATGTACATCTGACAAAAAAATGATAAAATATATGTCCGTGTAAACGATGTAAGTAGAATATACATAATTCAAAAGGTAATACCTTGGACTGTTCCCTTTATAAGAATGGAATATGCATGCATGTGTATTTTTTTATATTTTCAAAAACATGCTCTTAAGCTTACACCCTGATATTCTGAGCTAATACAACCATAGACAGTTGATAATGC